AGTGCAGAAATAATGGAGCAGAAGAAAATGAGTCGTATGTTTGCAGTTAACAACTAATCGACTTATAAAGATCAGATCAGTAACCGCTTTTATTAAATAATTAAATAATTAATTTTATTATTTTGACTCAATCAGTTAAGAGATAGGAAATAACTGACAACTACTGGATTGTAAATTGAGCCTTTATTCATTGGACTCACTTGTGTGGTCCACCTATTACGGTCCACACAAAATCATAAAAACCAATTTGTTTGGGTTTATTAATTAATGTTAATCTATAAATAAATAAATAAATATTTTAACAGAATCTAGTTCCATCATTTTTTGTGGAACTCAGTTCATAGATAAGTCTTTTGGTGCAAACCAAACGGGCCAAAATTTAAGTTTCACTTTCACTTTTGCTCCTCTCCCTTCAATTCCCTGCTACCAAATGAATCATTAATTTTTTATAACTAATTCAGCAAAGGAGATTCGGTCATTATATTGCATCCTACTAAAGAGTATGATTCTTTTACGAGTTCAGCGTCAATCATAGACTAAATGTTGGACAAGACGACGAGAGACGCACGTTAATTGTTATCTTTGTGGTTAAAAAATTTAAAGAAAGAAGCCAACAATTAATTAAGACAAGAAACCATGCTTTAATACCTGCTGTAAATTTCATAAAAAAGCATAAAAAGGATGATTTCTTATGCTCTCTATATATTCGGGTATCACTTTGTGTTTTTTCTGTAGCCCGGGTAGTCAGATCTCGAATCTCTTTCTACTGTAACCTGTCGTGTAGAGGGAAAAAGACGAGGTATGTGATATAGGCAAACCATAATAAACAATAGGAAAGGCTAGAAGTGGAAGAATCTAATCTCAGTACTTATGAGAGGAGAGATCAATATGATTCTGCCTCTTCGACTTTATTATCTTCAAAGTGACGCTGTACCGGCCTGGTCCTGCTTTGCACGAAGAGAAAACAAAGGTGGAGTTATTAGAAAAGATACAGGATTCAATCCAAAAGAGGGTCCCTCTGAATGCAAAGAATAGGTTCTAACCAGAAAGAAAGGCATTGAAAAGGAGCATGATGGTGATGGGAATGGAAAAGATGCGCCAGTCCATTAACCTAAATAATTAGTAGTACCACCTTTAAAGCATACACAAATATTGTACCGCTCAGAGAGAGAACAACAAAACCCATTCAAATCTCGTTCTCGTGCAACTCGCCCAATGTCCCTCCTACACCGCACCAAATAAACAAACAGCGAGCGCGCACATTCTCTCTCGCTTTTGAGCTAATGTGCTCGATTGATTAATATAGATGCGATATAAATAAAACAAGATTTTGATCTTGAAACTCCATCGATTTGAATTCTGCTAGCTGTTTAGGGTACACGTACCTGATGAAGAAGGAACCAGACTCTCCAATCGCACTTGCGCATAAAGAATATCACATTCCAACAAGCACATAGCTGATAGAATAGAACCTGTGCCACTTGGATAATCATTATGATGGTATTATATATTTACCCAGCAGGCCGATGCTTCTTTAATTTCTCCTGTCTAATTCATCACTATATATACATTTTATATCCCATTCAAGTATTTCTGACGCGCAGCTGAGATTTTTGTTTGGTACGTACATACAGAGTTTTATGTCGATCGGATGCTTCTATCTCTCTTTATATATAAACATGAAGGAATATTAATATGTATCTCACGTTAAAAAGTGTTTTCCGATCCATTTTCTCAATTAAAGGAGTGTAAGTCTCCAATATAAAAACATGTCGATGTACAATAAACATTAGCTTTGCTGTGTACTAACGGCCTGAAATGTGCTAATACAAAGATCAATATCGATAAATTACTGTTATAAACATGGATCTAAATCCTCTGCAATTAAAATAGGAAAATTTGTGTGAAGTTTTCTTTTTTAAGAAAGAAAGAGAAGATTTTATATTTTATAAAAATAATAAAATGAACAAAAATGCTAGAAAAAGGAAATATTCATCTAAACTAATCCTAACTTCAGAGGATTTAAATCTTATAAATAGTACATGCACCTCCATAAATCATTATATGAATATATTTATAAATATAAAAAATAGAGTCAGTCCTCACACAGCATGAACATTAACCGAGTCCGCCTCTTTTCTTGCACTGATTTATGTAATTACTGGTACCTTAAATAATTATTTACTACTAATCAATAACACACCAAGTAAATGTAATTTACCACGCTTTCAATAATATTACCCTATAATGCTTAGAATACTCCAGCAGGTTGTATACTAGTACTAGCTAGTATAAACACGGGCTGACAGCTGGCTATTTCAGCTGCATATCATTATCATCAGTGTAATCAGCTGTTATACATGGTATATAGTATTGTTATGCATTAATGATACATATATAAAATCTATCGTGGAATAAACGGGACAAAGAAGAAAGACGCGAGTACGGGAACAGAGGAATGAGAAGGGACTAGAACCGGAGGGATACGGGCAAAATAGTAATTAATCTGGTGTAGAAAATGGGCGACTGATCACTTGCGAAAAAACTAATAAGATCCTATTTTTATGGCCAGACTAATAAGATGCTATTCATCTTTCTCTTTGCTAAAAGATCACAAAATCTTCTACATGAGATTCCACGATAGATTTTTACCCTTCTTTATCTCTGACCGAAAGATAAGGTAAAAGAGAGCAAGTTGGCCTTTCTGCAAATTGAGAAAGTAGCCACTACTCTAGGAGAATCTGCAGTGAATAAAGTTGGTAATCAGATATAGGTGCAGGCGACCTAATGAAATGATCTTCTTCGTAATTAAGAATGATTCGATACTCACGGGTATCCTTTCCCTGACGACTTAGCTTTCTTAGAAACTGTTTAATCACCATGCATATGTGCATATATTGGTGTTGGTGAGAGACAAGGCTCGTGAATTCGTGTTGCCAGGGGAAGGGAAAAAGAAGGCTAATCTTTTATACATGCCCACTGTTTTCCAGACAAAGGCCGTAAGGGCAGTCCTATAATTTAAACTATAATAGTAATACGTTACATAATTGACCCTAAATGCTGCCTCGCAGATGATTGTCCGCTGTCCTTGATTGACACTGACTCTGCCGTCAACCTTCACTTGCTTAATTTACACGCGAATGACCACGTGAAGGAGAATGGAGATAGATGTTATGGTCTTGCCCGTTATTAATTACGTTAAATATGTGTTTTGATGGTATTTTGCCCCCCCTCCAAATGAGTTTGCGATGCAGATCAGTCAAAGATGGGCATTGGATAAAGTTTGATCTGTGTGAGAGAGAGAATTTGTGTGGGATAAACTGATTAATTTATGCCAAAGTTATCGTGGGGAGGAGTGCAAAACTAATTAATTTAGTTGTTTAATAATCAGCATCCAAACCCACACCCACTTGGCTCGGAGCTTTGCGTTTTCGCGGCCAAATTAAAGTGCAGCTTTGAGTATTAACTATTAAAGTAAGACGTGAGAGCTAAAGGGAATTGAAGCTTTTCATATACTTGATTAGAGGTGGGAATACGGAGGCCTGACCCTTTAAGGTCTAAGCTCTAAAGCCCGATTTCTCATTTTGATCCTTATTTTTCAAGTTTGACGCATATACTCAAGGCTCAGGGCCAGGCCCGTAAGCCTTTTTTTAAAAAAATAAAAAAATTAAAATAAAATTAAACATTATAAATAAATTAAAATATTTTAAAATTAAAAAAATTAAAATCATCATAATTTTTTAGAAATTAAATAACATACATTAGAAGTCTAGTAATAAAATTTGAATCTTCATTTAAAAAATAGTTCATTTTTTTTATAAATATACAAACATAATAATTATAAAAAATAAAAAATATCATAAATTTTATACTATACACTGATATTTATTAAATTATATTAAATTAATTTTAGAATAAATTAAAATTAATAATAATATAATGTATGTAGGATTAGGTGAGCAGGTCATTGATTTCAAACACGTGTTTTACTAAAAAAAATAATAATAAAAATAATATAACAGGGCTTGAAGGGCAGCCCAGGTCCGAGCCCTATTTTACAGGGCTTATCAGGGCCAAGTCCTCAAGCCCGATTACTTTAAAAAAATTATTTTTAAAGCCCGAACCCTTATTTAAATAGGGCTTTCAGGCCCGGCCCTCCAGGCTCGGCTCTATACTTGATATTGAAATTAGCAATTGAAGTCTATAACGGCCTCTTGCAATTCTAGACCCTTTGGGTATTAATCTAACTTCACGTTGGCGATCTCGGGCTTTCCAAATTGATAGTGGGAACATATAATTAAGCTGACTGGGACTCTGTCATTAAGTGGATGTGAAGATGGGTGTTAGGGCTATAATCACGAAAGAAAAAGAAACAGAAGTAGGAATCATGAAATCAATGAAACTGATCGAAGAAGAGAGAAAAAGAAAAGTTAAGCTTCTATACCGGTAGAACCACCTCCGCATCTACGCATGCATCTACTAATTATATAAATGAGTGAGAGATAAATGAATTTTAATTTTAATAAATATAAAATGAGGCTTATAAAAGAAAGGAAAACAAAAACAGAGGGAAAACAATTACGGGGAGGTGGGAGTCTAAGAGGGGAGGAGGCTAGATTGGTATTAGTTTGCATGGATGCAGTGGCTACACCAACCACGTGAACCTCCCCTGCCTGTGGCCCCCACACAGATCCTCCGTATCTGTACCCCACCTTACGAACCCAACCTCTTCTCAGGTTCTCATCACTCCCGGGGCGCAATGTTGCTCTCCTCATCTTGGATGCTGTCAAAGTGTCAATCCTCGAATCATCTGCCCTCTCCATGTAATTAATAAATGTCTTGCCCTTCAAAGTTCAAATATAATAAAATATTAAAATCAGAAACAGGGTGCCCGTCTCTTCTCACGTGCCTACGAGACCCTCCTTTACTCTGCGTGTCCTATAAATAGCGAACCTGCGTCATATATCCTGGACATGCCAGAGACACGCAGTGTAATGACTCAGACTCCCACTGATTCTCCTCAGTTTCACTCCCCTCTTTGCAAAAAAAGCCAGGGCCGAGCATGGAACCGCAGACAAAACCCTGTAAAGTGCCCTAGATTCCTTCCTGGTTTTGAATTGGGAACAGCCTCCTCATTTTTTTGAAGGCAGAAACCCTATCATGAAAAAGCTGAGGGTGAGAGCAGCAGGGGGAGGGAATCTTTGTGCATGTTTGCGCATAAAATCTTTAAAGAGCAATCCAGGCTTACGTTAGCCCACGCCAACCCAAGCCGCTGCTCCAAGATTTTGTTCTCTGCGCAATTCCCGACCCTCGATCGCATCCCCCCTTTCACCGTTTCTTATTCTTCACATCCATCGCCGCCTTACGTGCCCTAACTCTCAAAAATGGCCGCGACCAAGTTCGTGCTGGCATTCGCTATATGCCGGCTAATGGCTACGGTGGGATTCACGACGGTGGCTCCCGTAGATCTCCTTCGTCTTGGAATCGAAGGACGGGTGAGCATGGAGAGGTCCGACGTGAAAAAGGCATCCGCTGATTTTGGAAAGCTGACGAGAGAGGAGCCTGTGGCCGTCATGGAGCCGGGTTCGGCGGAGGACGTGGCGCGTCTGGTGGCGGCAGCTTACGAGTCGGCGCAGGGGTTCACGGTGTCGGCGCGGGGGCACGGGCACTCGATAAACGGGCAGGCTCAGGCGAGGAAGGGAGTGGTGATAGAGATGAGCAGTAGGAAGAGAGAGGTGAGAGTGTGGAAGAAGGGAAGGTACGTGGATGTGTGGGGAGGGGAGTTGTGGATAGAGGTGTTGACGGCGACGCTGGAGTATGGACTGGCACCCAAGTCGTGGACTGACTATTTGTATCTCTCTGTGGGCGGAACCCTATCCAACGCCGGCATTAGCGGCCAGACCTTCAATCAGGGGCCTCAGATTAGCAATGTCTACGAGCTCGACGTCGTTACCGGTTAGGCTTCCCGCTTAATTACCTTCTCAACTCTCATCTTTACTTCAAATTATCAGCTATAGACGGGTGTGTTACATTATTTGTGATTGTATAAATTAGAATAGAGCACCCAAGTTATCTAAATAAAATCTCATACTCCCTCTAATCTTATTTACAGGATAGAAAGAAGAATTTTTTTTTTTATCATATTTATAAGTCATTTTATTAAGCCATGTTTGACATCATTGAATTGGCAAGGTAAAAAATAAAATAAGAGAAAGAATCTTAATTTAAGCATGTTTGGTATGTAGAGTTGCATATCTTAATTCTATCAAAAATGTTAGAATCCAATTTCATTATAATGATCATGAAATTGTTTCAATTTCTTGAATTCATTTTGTGGATCACACTACCTTCATCTTTTTTATCTACTTATGATAAGGGAAGTCTTTTTAGTTTTGAAAAAAAAGGCAATTTGGTCTTTTTTTTATTTTAAGTACATATACTAATTAAAAGGATATTAGGGTTCCATCTTCATATTAAAAATACTTTCCATCACATCAAATGGGACCTCAATTTTCATAACAAATTTTCTCATTCGCCCTTCATTAAATGTTGGAACAAAAAAATGTTTGTTAAAGTATCTATTTAATAGAGGTATAGTTGAAAATTATTAAATTTTTAGATAGAGTTAATGAGTTTTAAAATTTTACTTGATTACGGCAAAATATATTGAAAGTGATTTATAAATAGAATTAGAGTAGTATGATATTATTTATATTAAAAGTTTTACTCAATTTATATTTAACGTCATCTAAATGTTATTTTTTTAATTGAACAAACTATAAATTATATGATACACTTGGTTTACTTAAGAATTTCTAAACTAATTCATCGTGGGTACTTAAATAAAGTGACTTTTAGTTTTTATGCCATCATGTTAGTCATTATTGTACATGCCAATATATAGGGACAAGGAGAACCATTACTTAACATCATCGCACGTTATTTTGTTTCTTCTTTATTAGCTACGCTTAATTTCAAATTAAATTCTCGTAACTATACCAATCATGGTTAATAAAATCCAATTATTTCAGTTCAGGATCATTGACGAATTTGCCTTGCTTTCCCTCTCCCAATGGAACAGGTAAAGGTGAGCTGTTGACATGTTCGGAAGAGCGTAATACGGAGTTGTTTCATGCCGTTCTCGGAGGTCTTGGACAATTTGGAATCATCATGAGAGCTAGAATTGCTCTTGAACCGGCTCCTCACAGGGTACTTACATGATCACAAAATCTCTTCTGCTTTCTGTTGTTTAATTGCTAAAATTGAATTTAAAGCCTGAATTTTAATTTGCAGCCTAATTTAGCCGTGTCTTCTATCCGGCTTCTCTATAGATCATTAGCACGTCAAGCCAAAAGGTTTTTTTTATTATTATATATTTAAAATGAGAATATGAGACGACCTTCTCCCTTTATATATATAGAGAGAGATGACTATTTACAAAATGATCTGCTTCACGGAAAAACAATCACATGTTCTACGTATCTATCTTTCGAGGAACTTGTTGAATTGAAGGTGTGTTTTCGTTGTTCCTAGGAGAGTAGGAGGGACACATGACACGTGGTTTCTCGCAATTTTTTCTTTGCCTCAGACAAAACCTTAAAAAAATCGTTTTCAAGGGTTGTAGAGTGGTCTATTTGAGTAGCCCCGGATCTCTTCTAGCTGGCAAATTCTGTCGATGTGTCGCTCTCTTAATTCTTTTGAACGTCTACGTTAAATGGATTATCTTAGTTAAATTACAATACTGCTTCGAACGTATGCACAGGTTCGTTGGATACGAGTACTGTACTCCAATTTCTCGGCCTTCACCGAGGACCAAGAGTTTCTGATCTCTCTGCATGGGAGACCCGCAAAAGAGAGATTCGATTACGTGGAGGGATTTGTGATCGTGGATGAAGGACTGATCAATAACTGGAGGTCCTCTTTCTTTTCACCAAGTAACCCAGTTAAAATAGAATCCCTCAAATCTGACGAGGGTGTCTTGTACTGCCTGGAGATTACCAAAAATTACCATCAAGACAACGCAGATACTATCGATCAGGTACGCTCATTTAATACATCTAGACTTTTCCACTTTTATATTGTTCCCACTTCCCATTGTGAGACATCACTTCAAAGTGCCTCCTAAGAGTGGACACGTAATATGGCAATTTGGCATAAGGAGAGTAGGTGCCTTTTATTTTGCTCTGCTGGACTCTATTAATTTGGTAATTTTCTGTCTACTACTATGTATGCTAGTCTTCTAAATTATCACACTTGCAAGCTGTTCCTGGACAACTTGTTCCAATCAATTCAATCTAATAAAACATTTAGTTAATGGGGCTTCTTTGTCCATTTTTGTCACTTTGAAGTTAATTTGAACATTTATAAATGTTTGATCCCGGATAGAGGCACCAATAAGAATAATAGGAAAAAAAAAGGAATTATTAACTCGCATGAATTATTTGTTTAACCCGTGGAAAGTTGTTTTAAAAGATTTGTGTGAGGTTGATTAAGTATTCGATAAATCTCTGCGTCTTATCCTCTGGTATTCTAGACAGCAGAATATATAGTTTTTCATGGTTGGTTCTGTCTAAGAACTTTGGCAGAAACCACTTCCAAAAGTACTTGCATGTGTATAATTGATTGGCAAGATGCAAAAGTGATATAACCTTTTTGCGAACTTGCCTAACTCGATCTAGAATTTGCGTAACATGGCGAGATAGCCTTCTGTTGCACTGCCGAAGGAATAATAAAGACATTTCGTATTGAATACTAGAATCATCGAGCTTCAAACATTAATTTTTAATCATTCACCCTCATATATAGATGATGTTCTTTCCAGACACGACCAATTTATACAGACAAAATGAGAATAATATAAAAGACACGAGACAACATACCAGATTTTCTGAAATCTATTATCCTCGATTGAATCACAAGGGTAAGGCAAGCATTAGATTTGTTTATTGACATTCATATATAATATATATCAGTTAATACTTAAACTATGCCGCCCACTGACCTGATTATTGGCATGTTACAATTCGTATTTGTATTTCGCATACTCCCAACTAGAAACTAGATCATAAATGATTGTTATGATGGAGATCATTCTGATAAAAGCATCTGCTCACCCTGTTTTGTTTGTACACGAACGGGTGGAATTTAAAATGTTGGTTCGTTTCGGTGCGACTCATGGTTGTGGATTGGACGTAAATGCAGGAAATAGAGGGGATGTTGGAAAAGTTAGATTTCATACCAAAAACAGTGTTCACAACAGATCTGACATACGTGGAATTTCTGGACCGAGTACACACGGCGGAGGTGAAGATGAGATCCAAGGGTTTATGGGAAGTCCCGCATCCGTGGCTGAACCTTTTTGTGCCGAGATCTAGGGTGGCGGATTTCGACAAGGGCGTGTTCAAGGGCATTCTGGGAAACAAGACAAGCGGGCCCATCCTCATCTACCCTATGAACAAGAACAAGTAAGTTGGTATCGTTCATTGAGGGACGACCAAAGGCGAGTCCATTATCCGTTAGTAAAATGAACTTTTGTTGTGATTGGATGAAGGTGGGACCAGAGGAGCTCGGCGGTGACACCAGAGGAGGAGGTGTTTTACGTGGTGGCATTTCTGAGATCAGCTGTGGACAGCCAGGCGCTGCACATCCTGAGGGATCAGAACCGCCAGATTCTGAGCTTCTGCCATGATGCAAGCATCAAGGTGAAGCAGTACCTGCCGCATTACACCACCCAGGAGGAGTGGAGGGACCACTTTGGAGATAAGTGGGACCGCTTTTCTCACTTGAAGATGCAGTACGACCCCCGGCGCATCTTAGCCTCGGGCCAGCGCATCTTTAAGCCTCTCACCACCACCAGCTCCGCCTCTGACATGTAGCAGCCTCCCCCTCAGCCCCTCACCTCATTCATTCATGTGAATGCAACAGACCTTGTTCATGAGTTACTAGTTTACCTTGCATCCCAATTCCTTGTACATACGATTCTTAGTCATATATGCTAGACTGTATAACAGCTTGTTACAGACCCACAAGAAAATTTCAGGTGGAGTCTTTTTCCTTGCTTTTTCATTTTTTATTTTTTGACCTGAAGTCTTTTTCCTGGCCTTGTTCCCCTTCAGACTTGCCCATTTTCTATAATTGATCGGTGATCAATTTACAATTCGAACTTAACCTTGTAGCATGCTCGCTCTTTTATCAATATGGAGCCATCACCTTCTACATCCGTCAAAACAAGGGTCATACGATATAAACTATAACAGATTCAGCTAAGGTGACTGGAGCCTTCCCATAACAGGACAAAAAAAGCTTCTTCCTGTTTTATCACGTTTGAATGAAAACTCCATACGATGATTCCAAAGGTGCTGCTGATGCCAAAGATTTTACACCAACACTTCGACCAGAAGATAAAGCAACAATTCACTCAAAAAAAAAAAAAAAACAGATTAAGCCCCAAAGCACAATTCATCCGTTACCAAACCTGAGACACAGAGAGCTGATATCTCTAAGATTTCTAATCTAATGGAAACTAGCGTTGGACATGAAGTGTGGCCAAGCTCGATGACTACTCAACTGGAGTCAATTAATCTGTCAAACGTTAGTATGAAATTTGTGGCATGTCGCACCAACGAATACAAACAATCTTTCATGACTCAATCACAAAACTTTGTTTCTTGAGAGTCCTTGTTATTTGTGAAGCAACAGGGTCCAAGAAACATCTAGGAACCATGAAAAGTTCAAAAACTGCACCTTTCTTCAATCTAGGCAACATCAAACACACAGTTCTAGGAACCAAGTTTTTTACGCCAAGCTACGTTAGTATATATGTAGACAATATAGCCTACACACAGCACATGCCACAGCAGACAGCTACAAGGAGGTGAGCTTCGAGTCGTAAATCTTCTTAATTATTGACAGAAACCAGTGACCTAGTGCAGGTATGGTAAAGAAATGTCGAGATTAGTACGAGCTTGATCAGCAGCCACCCAGATTTTAGGGTGATCTTGGCCTATCACTGATGCGCAAATAAATGGTTTTCCGTCAGCGCGATACCTTAATTGTATGGACTCGTTTTCAAGATAGGATTAGCAATAATCCATTGCAGGCCCTACGGATATTATTAATCAATCCGTTCTGAAGAAAAATGAAAGCATGATGATTCAATTAGGGCAAAACAATATTAAGCATAGTTGAATGCCAAGGAGTTCGTCGTTAATTAGTACAGCAAGTAATACTGGTACCGTTGCATCAGCATAAAGCATTCACGAATTTTTCATAGGAAAAACGCTTACTTCATACACGAAACGTAACGTAGTATCCTACGTTCCAACTGTTTCCAGAAGCCAGGTCCACAGTATAGTTATGTCAATTTCTATACACCAGGGGGTACAGTGCAGCAGAGGCGCCTAAACTAAAAGAAATAAAACTGTGGAACGAGAAGAAGAAATTAAGGAAGGAAGGAAAATAGATCTACAAATTGATCGTGACGAGCATTAATTGGTTGAGTTTAATTAGGATGCTGAGCTAGGTATGGAAAAGAGGACAAAGTTTTTCAATTCATACACCTTTTTTCTGTTTTAAAGAAAAAAGAGGCTAGGAGAAGCAATAAAAAGAAGCAAGCCAAAAGCATGCATCTAATAAACGTGACGCGAACACATGAACGGCAAGTTCCACTTGTGGTTGAGGGAGGTGGGTAGAAAATTTAGAAAAAGCTCATCTCAGCTACTATATGAATCCTGTCGGCAACCAGAGAAAAGGAGCACGGAAATATTTTATCCATAAAAAATGACCAAGCAATCGCCCTGTCTGGCCAGATGCTTAAGAAAATCAATTTCAGGTTGCTACGTCTTATCAGTGTACAGAAACCCTTAGCTCCGTTGACTTCAATTGTCCATCTCGACCAGAATAATGATAATATTAAAAGCCATATATATCAGCCATACAATTCATAAATTTGAAAAAGAGAAAAAACAAAAAAGAAGGGTAGGGGATAAGTGACCTGTGGGTGGGGCAATATGCCGCCCAACAGTGCAAGCTCTTTTTGAAGCCGATTGCCGGAGATATTTGCAGCATATATAAAACCTTCCGCGAAGAAGCAGAGGAGCGAGTCAGGGCTTCCAAAATTTAGCAGAAGGGAGGTAATTTCTATGTCTTCTTCGTACATGAAACATATACAGAAAATCCAAGCCGTCCCACAAATTCACAAAATTACAGTTTGGTAAAGGGGACAAGCAATCAACAACGAGAGTGGGGAAATTGGATGCATACAAGTTAAAAAGAAGACGCGGAAATGTTATATGATCTCTGTGTTTGAAAATGCCTGATCAGACAAAATTTCAACCTATATCATTCTTATTATTTAGATTTGTTATTGGAGAATTTTCACGTAATGAAATAATAATTAAATGATTTTGGAAGAGAACCACCCGAATGCAAAGTCATGGGTCAAGGAATCGTATGCCAACGGCAATTGGCACAAAAGAAGGCATTTAAGAGATGGGAAAATATTAATATTAATATTATTCCCATAAGACGATGACAAGGAAGATAACAGTTTCGCCAATGGAATTTTTATTTGTATGAGTAAAGAGCATGCCTGTTCAATCTTGACTATTCAGAATACAGGTCTTAAAATAAGGTGCTTGAATGTGTTTCCCAAAAGTCTTTCGCCTACATTCTCCACCTATTCTGCATTTAATTTGCCCCAGTCTCCCCTTTCTATGAATATAAAAATAAGAAATAAACAAAGAGCAACGCACGGTCCAAGCAAGCAAATCACCAACATAAGCGCGTGCCTGGTAATGGAAATGGCGGGTTGTACTGTAGTAATAAAAAGCCAAGAAGCATACACGTCGACGTGTGAACCTGTCACTTTCACCAACTGCGAATTTCGAATCAGCCAGCCCTGATTTTTTTTTTTCTTTTAATTCGTTGTAAAAAAAAAAAAAAAAAGGGAAACCAAACAGGCTCGGATATGCTGGTGAGAGGAAGAGAGAGAGAGAGATGGATTAGGATGCCTTTAAGAGGAGGTTTAAAGGGAGGGTTACAGGTTACAGGTCTACCAACTGGTGGTTAGGGTTTGAACCCTATCAAGCAAACAACCACCTCATCCTCTCTTCCTGACCTCCACCATCCAATCCCTACGACGGCTGCTTCTTCCGCTTCTTCTTCTCAAGCTTTCTAGCGACTTTTGCCTGGCGTTTGTCACACGTGAGAAACCTGATATTGATACTGATTGACGCATAAATTTAGCAATTATTTATTCCTTTTTGGCTAAAAAAGAAGGAAAAAAATAATGAATTGTGTGTCCAATAAAATAAAAGTAGTTGGTATGGGGGAAAGTGAGCAATTTCTTTTCTTTTTTGCCCAAAGAAAGTTATTGTGTTTTATATATCGGTATTTTTTAACTGGTTGGTGCCTTTGTTCCAATGATAAGGAGGTCCGTCCTTGTTTGAATCAAATATAATCTCTTGGGATTGCCATTTGTCTCCGGTTGGGCAGGAACATGAACCCCATGGATTGTCTCTCCGGGACTTGTCTAATGTTTCTGCTCTGATCCTCTTCCCTGATTTGCTTCCCACTACAACCCCATCGCTCCTTTTGATTGCCAGTCCTCCTTTCCTTCCTTTCAGGTATTTCACTTATCTTTTTTTTTTTAATCTCTGTTTGATCTTAACAATGATATCCCCGAACAGAAAAGCAAACTTCTTTTGTCGTCGTTGTTATCATGGTGCGCTTTTGTTAGTGGCCGTGGATGATGCTGCTATTAGAGTTTATGATTTTGATGAGTGATTGCAGAAATCAGAATGGACTCGTTACTGTGGAGTGGGGATGGGAGAGTAATTCGAATTACAGTATCATGAGTGTGGAACTTTCCTTTTTGGACTTGCTGCATAGTTGATTGATTGATTGACAATTTTTTTTAAAAAAAAACAGATCCTGTTTCATGTTTTGAATTCATGATGAGAGGGCACGAGAAGGAGCTCTGTATTCTGGTATAGGGTTCTTGCACGCTAAAGGTTGAAATTTGAAATCTTTGTTACACTTTTCGTTCAAGATATGCTTCATTTTTGGGATGGTTCATTTACTCCGTGTCGGTATTTACCAGACTTCCGGTCAATTCACTTCATCAAAATTCCTGCTACCTATATTTTGTCCACCTTGCGAGTGTTTGCTGAAGCAAAATACTTCCTGCCAATCTAAATCCATTTTTACAGAGCAAGCTATTATTCATCATATAATAATTATAAAAACTCCCCCTCATCCCTTTTTTGCTTGCCGTCTAGTTTCAAGCCACTCATTGATCAGCATACACCCTCAGGAGTCAGGAAGATGATACTCAAACAGGGTTTCGAACGAGGATTTACTGTTTTCTTCTTTTGTTTCTTTGCTTTGGCTGGTTATTGTTCCCTATAGCTTTTGCCTGTTTTCTTGTTCAATTATCTGGTTGAATGAAGTTTCCATTGAAAAAAAAAAAAAAAAAAAAAAAAGAAAACTGAAAATCGCCGTTGGTCAAAAACTGCAAATTTTGTAGCCTTGCAGAGTAACATACTGAGAAAAGTGAGAAGTAATCCCCGAGGAATGTAAACTGGGGTGTAGGCAATATTTTAATCAAGCGCTTGATTGAACATTTGAAGGGAGAAATAGACTGTTTCGGCACTTCTACTCCTGAGGCCACCTTTGTCGGGAGAAAAATCCGAGAACCATGCATAGCACACCCAATGGACCTAATAGGCATGGCAACAGATCTCCAGTTCCTCGTGCCGTGTAAACCAGTGTTGCTTAGCTCACTAGCTGATGATTCAACTTAAATCAAAATTCCGTTGTGTTGTGTAGTATTAATTGACGCTGGATTCAGCATAAAGACAAGGTCAATATCGCTGTGAAAAGTGAAAACTAAAGGCAGAGTATAATATGTTGATTTCCTGCATTAAATGCTATCAGAATTTGTGTTACGTCTATGTCTCTGACATATATGGTTGTGTTTTTGATTTAGACAACACACTTTACTTTTTACCCTGGGCTTTACGTGTTTCGTTGTTCTTTTGGTTCCATCGAAAACTTTTCTAAAAAAATTCTATCTAATTGATTCAGGAAAGTATAACGAACTGTCGATGATGAATCGGGAAATCTGTCTCTAATTTGTAATCGCAACCTCTTGCTGCCAATGTCATGATGTACTCGAACCAAGCTTTTTCTTCTGGGTCCTACGCGGAGATGTTGTCTGGCAATTCTTTTTTACCTCATAACTTCACTGAAACTGTAGGAGGCCAAAACGAGGTGAAGTTCATCACAGCCATAGGTGACACTGTGGCCATGCAATCCATTGACGGGCATCCCAACACTGCCACAGGCGATTCATCTGTCAACGCTTTCACAAGGACGTCATTGGGGCTCGTTGACAGTGAACAGAACATACAGAGCCAGGGCTTATCTCTTAGCCTTGGCACACTCATGCCCGTCCCTCCCTTCCAATACCACTATCCCTCCTCCGGCTTTTCGTCGCTGATGATTCCAAATCTCCCAAACGTTAAAGGCACTGTTTCTTTTAAAGACGATGAGGCAGGTGCTGAATGCATGGCACCTGTATCTTCTGGAGGCTTTGACAACTCCATCCAAAAGGAGGCTCTGTACAATCCACACTCCTCACTCTACCACAAGGAAGCCCCCCATGATCCGTCGTGTCTGCATGGTTCACAAGGTTTTCCAAACGCTGCCTTAAACTCCCAATACCTTAAAGCAGCTCAGGAATTGCTTGATGAAATAGTCAGTGTCAGGAAGGCTTTAAAGCAGCCTGGACTGGAGAAGCAAAAAGGTTCCCTTGACATCGCATTAGATGGCTCCAAAGAGTCCGAGGAAAAGTCTCCCAGTCAGTCTATGCTGATGCATCCGGACCCTAATGCTTCATCTGCCAATGCGTCATGCGAATTGTCACCCGCAGAACGGCAGAGTTTGCTGGATAAGAAGGCTAAGCTTTTGTCCATGTTAGATGAGGTATATCTCCAAACTCCATTACAATTGTGTCAAATGGTTTGTTTTGTTCTATACATACTTGTTTTGGATACGTTGTCTCTAAATTGAAGATTAAATCTCTGTATAGCTATGATGATACTCGGTTTATTGAGATTACAATTGCATTAATCAGTTATAGGAGCAGGTTTGGATTGATTAAAGCAGGCTAAGATGTGATATCAGATGGAGAAAGCACACTTATTTGTGAAACTGTCTCTCAACATCTGATGTTGAGCAATGCAATTTTGTCCCTTGGCGCCACTAGTGTTTTCTACAATATGCTAAAATATTAAAGAACAACTAACCCTTTTGTTGCGGTGACTACAGGTAGATAAAAGATACCGGCAGTACTGCCATCAGATGCAAATGGTGGTGTCATCTTTTGATATGGTTGCTGGTTGTGGGGCGGCTGAACCATATACTGCACTTGCTTTACGAACAATTTCTCGTCATTTTCGCTGTTTGCGTGATGCTATTAGCGGCCAAATTCAAGTGACTCAGAGGAGCCTTGGAGAACAAGAGGGGATACCTCGTCTCCGCTATGTTGATCAGCAGCTACGGCAGCAAAAAGCCCTTCAGCAGCTTGGCGTGATGAGACAAGCTTGGAGGCCGCAGAGGGGACTTCCTGAAAGCTCTGTTTCCATACTCCGCGCTTGGCTTTTTGAGCATTTCCTTCATCCGTATGTTCCACACTGCTTTATTTGCCCCGTTAGTGGTATTTTACCTCTTCATTAACTCATAATTCTTTTCCATCTTCTATCCGTCACCAGTTACCCAAAGGACTCCGAGAAAATTATGCTGGCAAGGCAAACAGGCTTGACCAGGAACCAGGTTCATACCTGAAGTTTTAAAATTCGAAATTTTAGTTTCTGACTGAGCTTCAATGGTAAGTAATTGATTGATTATTGTAGCTATAGTAGTTGCTGATATTTAAATTTAATTCATTTTAGGTGGCGAACTGGTTCATCAATGCAAGGGTGCGTCTTTGGAAACCAATGGTTGAAGAAATGTACAAAGAAGAGTTTGGTGATTCTGAGATGACAAGCTGCAATCTCTCATCTGAAAGTACTCCCCAGGCTCCAAGAGATAATAAAGGGGAAGAGTCGCAGGACAATGTAAAAGCTGCCAATAATGTGCAACGGGGGCAGCTTCATGAGTTTAAGTTAGACCATGGCTCCGCTACAGGATTTGACAATGCCCATGGAGGAGCTATCATGCATTCTGGAATTATGAAACTGCAGCAGGGTGATCAAAGGCCTAACATGAACAATACCCTTTACTCGACCGGACCTATGCCAGCCAACCACAATGGTGATGGTTGCCTAATGCCTTCTGCTCCGGCCTCATACGATTTTTCAGAGTTGGGTAGTTTTCCGGTGGGTGGCCATGTGTCTCTTGCTTTAGAGTTGCGCAACTGTGAAACTGAGGAATTCTCCGGTTCTGATAATCGTTTCAACAAACAACGTCATCAGACATTAGATTCTTCCCCAGAAGATAATTTGATTGATTATCATTTCACGGATTCGGGAAAGCAACAAAACAGGTTTAGTAATCCACATCTATTGCATGAGTTTGTCGTCTAAGACCCGCATGCCCATGAAGCTTCACGGAGGAAACGAAGTTGATGTTTTGAGGGAACTCTGAGAAGGTGTATAATTAGTAGACAGAGGAAGCTTATATTGTTTACTCTGGTGCTCATCCATGTTGCCCCTTGTTCATAAAGTGATGATTATCACAAAAAGTACCAATATACTGGTAGATATGTGTAGATATTATTCACTTGTAATATTACAGATGATTGGTTGTAAGCGCAGGCAATTTTGTAAGGATAAGAATCACATCTCGTGCATGCATGATGTGGAATAATGGATCTTGTGGGGGAAAATGTTACGAGTACGATGTGGAAGTATTGGCTTGTTTATATAGCTTTCCGCAGCCTCTCCCATGTGGTTAATGTGCAAACCTTGTTAAAGCAGTAATGCAGAAAAGAAGGAATGGTGCCAAGAAATGTTTGCAAAATGCAGTTTTAGAGGTAATATTTGCCCCATTATATTGAATACAGAGTATGACAAATCAATCTTAGAAGTTACCCTAAATATTTAGAGGCCTCCAAAGAACAGCTCTTGGAGCCTTCCAACAAAACAAGGTGAAGTTTTGAAGGATGATCACTTGCAATAAAATTCTGAAGTACAATGGGCAAGAAGCACTCATTGCCTTCAGCTTTAGTCTTTCATTTACCATCGCCCTCCATCCTCTGTTGCCGTTCACCTTTGGTCTTCGTGAGACACATCCACCTAACTTCTTACATCCAAAGGAACCAACCTTATGAATATTTCACTCTTGTGAGAGTGAAGAGAGGAAGGATAAGTACTAATTCAAAATTATATGTACATTTTCTTCCCATCTTAAACCTCTAGATTTAAATACATGTAAATGTTCATGATTTCTAGTTTTTTCTTATTTACATTTCAAGTTATAGCAAGTACTTGAGGGAGTGTTGAAGGGCATTTAATTCTCATCACTGTTATTGTTACTTCGAGCTTCTTTAGCTCAAGACAAATAGTCAAGCTAAGTCAGAATGCATTGTTATCATTGTGCATAGATCTCACAACTATTCTACATTGGTAGATAACGAAGAAAATGATAAGTCTCTAATAAAAGGACAATCTTGCTTCTTAAAAATTGTTTAGGGAGATATCATCTTGTCCTTGGATATAAAATATCCAACGCTCCTAAAAAAAATTAAGAGAAAAAAATAATATTTAGCCAAAAAAATAGTATATGTTGTGAAATCTATATTAAGCTAACATTTGAAGGAGGAAAAAAAAAGCACGCTAAGATGTGTGCTGGCATAGATTATAAAGAATATATTTTATTTGTCAAAATTTGTATTCCCTCCGTTAAAATTACAAGATTTCTTTTTTGAGTTTAGCTGTTAAAATATATAAAATATTTTTAGTTTTTTAATATATAATTAATAATTTTTTAAAAAAATATTATTAATAAATAAACTACTTAATCATTCATTTTTTAAGTGAGATGTCCTATTAAACAAAGGCAAATATAAAAAAAGTCTCAATTTAAAGATAATTAACTAATTTATCCATAGGTATAATTTGAGTATTATATTTTTAATAAGAGGGAATATATCTATATCTATAATCTATAGTAAATACAATCAATAGGTACTCTGGATTTATAGTACGCATCTAACTTTTTTAAAATTTTACTTTGTTAAGTCATTGGATGGGTGTCGTAGATCATTAGTACCCACATGACTTTTTTTTTTATTTGTTAATCTCTTTTTAATATGATATAGTAGAAAAGGTAAAGAATAATGTGGGCCTTATAATAAAGGTACATGTGGGACATACAAAAAATAAATCATTAATATAAAACTTATAATTAAAAATGAATAAAATATTCTGACCTTTTCTTCATTTTGTCTTAATTAGTGATACTTCTTTTATATTTTTTGAAATATATGTGAACATTTTTTTGTATAAATAATTATAAAATACAAGCATTTTTTTTATTTTTAAGATTTTATTTTCATCTACCTGATCATTAGTTGACCATTAAGTTAATATGTTGAATTAAAATAATTTTAATAATTTAAAATAGTTAAACCAGCTTATATAAACTCAAAAGTTAAAGGTATTAAGAGTCAAGCTTAACTATAAACTTTTTATATGTTTAAATATTTTAAACTCGATATGAATTGAGTCTTTAAGGGGAATGTAGACAATGTGAGTTTTATAATAAACTTGTTTTTTAAAAAATTGCAGTATTGTGGTTTAAAAAAGTGGTGTGTATAACCTACCTTTAAAAAATGTGAATGAGGGTCTATATTTATAAAATATAAAAATTTAAATAAGGTGTAAAAAATAATAAAATTGTTATATTTTGAGAGATCATATAGGATTTATAGTAAAAATTGATGATAAATATAAGATTCTTAGTGAAAATAATAGGTGTTAGATATGCAAAAAAATTACTAATGATAAAAAAAGTGGGTGTGAGACTGATTTTAATTAATAAAATTAAATTAGTAATTATTTAAAAAATATTTTTTAGAATTAGTTAATGGATAATTTTGTCAAAAAAATAAACATAGTTGTGGGTCTCGGTATAAAAGTGGATGTGTGATCTATCACGTATAAAACATGTTTTTGTTTATACTATTCAAATGCATAAGGTATAAAAATGTATTATTCTATTATTTATATGTAAAAATTGATTATGGTTTTAAAACTTATAAAAAACATTGATATAGTTATGTGCTTCAAGTTTGAGCCAAAAAAAAATTATAGGCTTTAAGTTAACTATATAATATTAATGAATTTATCTTGTATTGCACACCTAATCTTTTTCTTAATAACCATTGTATTATTTGTAATACTTGTACATAGAGTTGATAAATGATATTAGAATATGGATTATATTATTTGCTTGATTTACAAACATTATAATTACGATTTATAAATAATATTACGACATAAATTATAGTACCATTCATTATAGTATATGCTTTATTTTTTTTAAAAGTGATACATGGGGAACACATTTTGAAAAAGAATGAGCTAGATTATATTTTAAATTGTAGGAGGTGAGAAATTTGAAAAAATATTGACATTTTTAAATATATATAAGAGTAGCACATTGCAAAACAAAAGTCATTCTTTATAAATATTATCATATTAAAATTTTAGTCTCACAGATATGGCTATAAGGATAAAAACAAGAAGAAGAAGTTGTTCCTTAAATTTTAATTTTACTTGTAATACATTAATTATATTAAAGTATATGTTTTGAAAACCATAATATATATATATATATATAGTTGTAGGAATCAAGGTAAAAAAAAAAGTGGGTTTGGAATCTACTGTTAAAAAATATAAGTGTGGGATCTACATTTATAAATGTTAAAAATCTAGACAAGGTATAAAAATTATTAAATTTTTTATATTTTAAAAGATAATGTAGGATTTATAATAAAAATTGAGGTGAATATAACATTCTTAATAAAAATAATAGATGTTAGATGTGCAATGAAATTTATACGGAGATGACATAGTTTATATAAAAACAATTTATATGGGGATGACATGGATTAGATAAAAATAATTGATTGTATACATATAGGGGGATGATATAGTATTCTTCTATAATTTTACTCTCCGCTTGGATGAAAAGAAAAGTAAAAAAAAAAGAAAATATTGAGAAAAAAATATTATCTCTCATATTATTTTGATGAACAAGAAAAAATAGGAACGAAAGAAAATGAGAAAATAGTATAGTGATAATAATATCCTTATAGAAAAATATATCATGTCTCACATACTTATTTTTATAAGAATAAATTAAAGGAAAATATCATATTAAAATAAATTTATCAAAATAATTTAAAATCTATTTATTTATTAAAAATATATTTTTATGTTATTATATTTTAAAACCCAATAATTTATTTAAAATATATTTTTTATTTAAAATATTAAAAGAGGATAATTAACTAAAATTAAATATGATCAATCTCTACATAACTAAGATATAGGTGAGAACATGGCAAAGTAAAAAAAATGAAGAGGTAAAGCAAAGAGATGGTTCTGCGTCAAGCATTAAAGAAGAAGTTGGAGAGAAAGTATGATGAGTCTCAATTATCATTTTTTTCCTTATTCTTTTCTTTTTTTTAATCTTTCCTTCCTCATTTAAATAGGAAAAAATTCACTTTCTTTTCAGTTTTTCTCCCACATTTTCTTCCCAACTAAACAAAACATTAGTCTCACAATTGTCAGTTGTGAATATGACTTGAGAAACAAAAAAAAGTCATTCTCTAAAATTTAATTTACACAAAATAACACATTCTAAAATAAAATAAGTTATTATTTATATTCTTAATATGTATAACGTAATAAATTTCAAAATAAAATATTCTTTATATTTTAATTTGAACAAATTAATAAATTATAAAGAAAAATGTACTTTGGAAAACAAGTAAAATATATTGGCATCTTTTTTTTAGAATTATAAATACTTCTTTTTTATTTTTAAAACCTATACTTTAGTATTATTTTTAACACTGTTAAGAATATTATGTTAAATATTTTAAAATATTTAATTTATTATTTTTATTCATAATAAAAAAATTTACATTATTAATTTACCCTTATAATCTTTTTGTCTATTCTCTCACTTTTTAATTTTACTTTAGGGATACTAAAATAATTTTTTAATATTAATATTTGTTTTGTAAACATAGTTCTCAATAAAAAAGTGAATGTGAACGTATGATCTACAATGAAGATATATAAAGAATTTTATATTTATTTTTAAAAATTATTTAGGAAATTTAAAATTTTAAAATATTTAAAAAATCCATTTTATGTTGCATGCAAAACTGTCACGATACTGACACAATATTATAAAAAAATTAATGATTAATGATATATTTTTTTAAAATCATTTTTTATTATAATATATAACAAGATATTATATTTGAAATAAAATAAGTATACTCATGTTAATGATATAACTACATTAAATACCTTTACACAAATTAATAAAAAATAAAATTAAAAAAATTTAAATATTGCAAAATTTTTATATTTTGAATTAAAATTACTTGTAAAATGTATTCTACAAATAGAACAGAAGGACTTTAAGATAATAAATTTTGGAGTTTAAATATAATTTTAAATTTTAGTATATATATATAAAATAAATTTTAAAATAAAATATTCTACTTAAATTTTTAACATGGACAACAAATTATAAAAAATATAAATTATAATAAATTTTTTTTAATAAACTCATCTTTTATACAATATTTTTCTTTAACTTTTAAAAGCAGTATAATTTAATTTTTATTATTAATAAAAGTTAACTTTAATCATTGTTTAATAAAAAATAATTTAAAAAATTACAGTATAATATGTTGTTATTTATTTTTATTTTTTAATGTTATTAAAATCTTTCTCTTTCTTTTTTCCACCGTCTTCAAATCAAACAAAACATTAGATTCCCATGTATCACACAAGACTAAAATCTAGTTGCGTGAGTAAATGTGTTTACCTTGTTACTTTTGTAAGTAATTTATATCTATGCTATAATATGAAAACTATAACAAGTTGTACTGACTTATAAATAAATGTTTCAGTGGGTATGTAGAAATATGAGTTGGATTAAAAAAAAGAAAGTATAAATGTGAGCTGTATGTGAATTTTCTTCTATTCTCATTCTTTTATTGAGTCCGGCATATATGTGATGGTGAGACGTATTATCTCTAGTTTCATGGCAATTAGTTGTTCTAGCTTCTAATGATGATTTGTTTGGGTGAAATCCATACATTTTTTTTTCTTTTTTATTTAGTTTAGAAGTGGGTGAATTACAACGGGTTACTTTGTTTCGCAAAGTTCATATTTTTCTTTGAATATATAGGGCCAGTCCTGGCATCAGGTGTGTTGCTCCATTCAGCACTTCCAAGTCCAGCGTTCAAGTCCCAGCATACTTGCCATTCGATATTTGGGACGCGAAAACAATGACGGAGGCAGAAGATGCCACACGACGCCGTAACGCGGTGGCGGATTATCGAAAGAAACTTCTTCAGCACAAAGAACTGGAGTCCAGAGTACGATCTGGTTGGTCTCTCAGACTGTTGCCAATCTTATTGAGCGCATATATTTCTTGAATAAATTCCAGATCTTGTTTTCATTATAATACCGTTCGATGATTAGGTTATGTTTAATTTTTACTGTATCTGGAAAACCAAAGTTTTAGGGTTTGTGCCCCTTGGCGTTAGTAATCCTTACTCCTGTGAGATTAACACCTACCTTTTGATTTGTAAGAAAAATGATTTTGATAAGTTTACATATTATTGGATATTGACTTGGCCATCGATTCCTGACTTAACCTGATTTATTTGGGGAAATTAGGTAATGTTAACGACTCGATCTGTTCACTCGGATTATTTAGATAAAAATTTTATTTTAATCTGCGGCAACAATTCCTAGCCAGAGAGAGGATGGGAAGTAGGCGTGTTAGTGAGGTGCCGATATCTGGGTAGGGCTGCCGGTGGTTTATGCCTGCTTTGCAGTATCATTTTAGCTTGCCCTGTATCATTTTGATATGAAGATGGTTGAATTCGCTCCACTAACTTAAGCTTTTCTTATTTGAATGAATTGCCTAAATTTGCTCTTTCGTTTGGTACATTTTTATTCTACAATAATTATTTTGATCATGATGGATGAGATTGGTGACTTTGGACTTAGAATTCCAATTGCAGTCAGGGAGAATTTGCGAGGTGCGAAGAAAGAGTTCAATAAAACCGAAGATGATTTGAAGTCTCTTCAAAGTGTTGGGCAGATCATAGGCGAAGTTCTCAGGCCTCTTGACAATGAACGCTGTAATTATTCTGGCTATACTTTTAAAATTTGGAATGCTATCTTCCTATTCAACTTCTCTGACACCATCTCTATTCTAACTTTTTGGTTTTGTCTTTTAGTGCTTCTCTAACTGGCAAGTTATGTTATATTATGTTATAATTTTTATCTTCATTTAAGCTGGTTTCATTGCTAGAAAATTTTCTGTTCCCCTTTAAAACGCGGGAAATGTTTACTTCATTTACTTGGTGCTGGTGCATTATTCATGTGTTAGCTAGCCACTTGCTGAACCATCATTTGTGTTGTGATTGTTCTTCTATCAGTGATTGTTAAAGCAAGCAGTGGTCCCAGGTATGTGGTCGGCTGCCGCAATAAAGTGGATAAGGAGAAATTGACTGCAGGAACAAGAGTTGTTCTGGATATGACAACACTAACCATAATGCGGGCTCTTCCCCGTGAAGTAAGTTGTCAATAAATATTCAAACATCTACTGGATGAATGTGTTCATGTTTTTCTTTTTTTTGCTTATTCCCCACTTACTATCAGCTGCTATTTAATGCATGATTGTCACTGACTTGTGATATGGGATTCCAGGTGGATCCAGTTGTTTATAACATGCTTCATGAAGACCCAGGCAATGTCAGTTACTCAGCTGTGGGTGGTTTATCTGATCAGATAAGGGAACTGAGGGAATCAATTGAATTGCCTCTAATGAATCCTGAACTCTTTCTTCGAGTTGGAATAAAACCTCCAAAGGTGATTGTTGATTTATAACATTTTGCACACTGACCCTTTATCAGTATCACCGTGTTTTTGGCAGCCTTGTCACTTCAAGTGTTCCCACTTTTTGTGGTATTTTAAGGGGCCTAGTAGTTATTTTTTTAATTTGTTTTGTATCTTAATATTTCATCTTTAGGGTGTTCTTCTTTATGGACCTCCTGGAACTGGCAAGACATTGTTAGCTAGGGCCATTGCCAGCAATATTGATGCTAGCTTCTTAAAGGTCAGATGATTTTTCCTTTCTGAATTCATTGTATTTCAAAATTTTATTCTAAAGTTGAATATATAGTGTCTTATCCTGTATTGTTTAGGTTGTTTCAAGTGCCATTATTGATAAGTACATTGGAGAAAGTGCTAGGTTGATACGAGAGATGTTTGGATATGCCCGTGATCACCAGGTGAGATTGGTGTAAATTGAAGTTCTATTTGCATGTTCAAATGGAAGCTAACTATTGAACTCCTTCATGTTAAGCCTTGCATAATTTTTATGGATGAGATCGATGCCATTGGTGGTCGTCGTTTTAGTGAGGGAACGAGTGCAGATCGTGAGATCCAGAGAACACTAATGGAGTTGCTTAATCAACTTGATGGATTTGATTCACTTGGGAAGGTATATTTTGTTCTAACTCCCCAATTTTTAATTAATTATAGAACCGTCCTTATACCTGGTTTTGAAATACTTGCTTACTTCACAAATTTTAAGGATGCAAGACCCTTTTTTTTATTTTTCTTTGGGGGGGGGTGTTTCTTTTTTGGAGGGCAGGGGGCTTGGAAATAAGCTTACACAGATGATGCACCTCACAAATCTTCCACTTTTGAACAATGATTCTTGGGGGAATTTTTTTCTTTTTTGGAGGGCAGTGGGGTTGGAAATAAGCTTTACACAGATGATGCACCTCACAAATCTTCCACTTTTGAACAATGATTCTTTCCTATTTATTTCCAAAGATAAACTGTAGCTCGTAATTTTCACTTGTCTTGAAGTTTCATGGTGAGATTACCAAGGGAGCTTATCATGAATGGTAAGACTTACAAATGCATTCTCACTGATTATGGAACAAAACAAGTGAAGTTTTAATTGGCCTTTGCCATTAAGTAAAATGAAGTTTTAATGCACAAGTGATACATTTCACCTCCTCTACTTTGTACCATTGTTTTAAAAACCGAACCAAATTGGATTGTCGACTGGAGCCATTAACAGCTCGATTTAGACCAAAAAATCGTTTTCATAATTGAGTCGGGTTGGACTAGAGTTAAGCTGCTATTAAGTGGGAAACTGTGGTTGAACCAGGAACCAGAGCGGTTTAAAAAAAAAATAGACAGTTTCAAACATAATATTAAAAAAACCTTAAAAATTAAAAAATAGAAAAATTAAAAAATTAGATCCATACTCAAAACCAACTTTATTTTTGAACAATTTACATGTATAAAATATGATTTGAAATCTTTTTTTTTAATAAAAATGTTGCCAATTATAGTTGCAAATGCAAATACTTTTAAGTCTACTTAAATCTAATTAAACTAAGACTTCAAGTTATAAAATTGTAAGTTATAATATTATTAATTTACTTTCATATTATGTCATTTAATATTATTATATATACATGTTACAAAACTAGGTATCTCGTAGGTTTGTTTCTTATATTTATTTTATATATACATTTAATATTATTTTTATTTAATTATTATATCATCGGTCCAATGGCCGGTCTAATTAGTTAGACCGTAACCAAGAACAGTTGACTTTTCCGATTTAATGTCTGATCTGGCTTTTAAAACATTGCTTTGTACTTACATCTTAGGTGTAGCGTATTTTAGCAGATGTCTTGCTTTTTATATGGAAGCAAGACATATATAAGTAGTATGAAATATAGGAACCTCTGGTTTCATCCATGTGCCCCTTGGGATATATATTCTTACTATTTATGACTTCTGGTTCAAGTTCTTATGGTGCATGGCTGTTGCAGGTTAAAATGATAATGGCAACAAACAGACCTGATGTGCTTGATCCTGCCCTCCTGCGTCCTGGTAGGCTGGATAGAAAAATAGAAATTCCGCTGCCAAATGAGCAGTCAAGGATGGAAATTCTTAAGATACATGCTGCTGGAATTGCAAAGCATGGTGAAATAGACTATGAAGCTGTTGTTAAGCTTGCAGAGGTTAGCCTAATGAAATTGGTTTAGCTTCATGTACTTACTGATGCTTGTTTGATGTATTATCTGTTGCCTTTTTTGCAGGGCTTTAATGGGGCTGATCTCCGAAATGTCTGCACGGAAGCTGGAATGTCAGCCATTCGTGCAGAACGTGATTATGTGATCCATGAAGATTTCATGAAGGTGTGTTCCTTCTTTGATTATAGTTTGGGATAACGAAGCAATTGTTTGTAGCCCTTATGGCGTGTGCAGAAGAGACTGGATGCATCTCCCCGTTAGTTATGGAAACAGTAATTTTGTAACTTGGGGCTTTTGATTTCAGGCTGTTCGGAAGCTGAATGACGCGAAGAAACTTGAATCCAGTGCTCATTACAATGCTGATTTTGGGAAAGACTGAATCTAGAGCAATGTTTTGACAGAGCCATGGATATTTAGGCAGTGCATGTTTTTTATCTCATTATTTGGACTGGGTCGTTAATGTCAAGCACGAAATGGTTTCTTGGGATATCTTGTACAATAAGAATACTGAAGTTGGAAGAGAGATGTTATTAACCCAGCACAGGGAAGGGAGGACGTCAATTCAAAATTGCTTGCCTCGAATTGTTAGATTTTTTTATTGGAAACTGATTTCCGCGTCATCTATGATGTTGTTGAATGACTGAATGATTATTGAATTAGCTGATTCCAATTGCTTAGCAGCATATGCATATCCTGAATTCCTGATCCCATCATGGCGGATGTGGAAGGAAGGTTTGTCCTCTGAATTTAGGGTTGGTTTGGTTTGCTTGGGTTTTATATTTAAAAAGTAAAATTTTACTTTTAAAATGTTGAAAGTTGTTTGAGTAAAATATTTTATAAAAAAATATATTTAAATAGTAGTTGAAAGTAAATTTAAAAAATGTTAACTATTTGAAATTCTTGAAAAGTGAATTTAAAAAGTAAGATATTATTTGATTATATTATTTTAAGTATAATATTTCATTTTTTAATTTAAAAAAGTTAATTTATTAAAAATATCATTATTATTTTAATAATAATAATTAGGTATTAAGTTTTTAGCATTAGAAATTGAATAATTAATTTTATTAATTTTTAATATTAATGTATGATAAAAATTATAAATCTTAATTACATTTTTAAAATTACAAATTTAAAAAGTGTAAATAATTAGAGATTAAATTTTTAGTATTATAGATTAAATTTTATGTTATTTAAAATTTTTATCGTATTTTTTAAATATTTTAAATATATTATATTTATATAATAAAAATTATAAATTATCATAAATAATGTCTTTTTTAATTGTATATTTAAAAACACATTTCACTATCATAATTTAAATAATTTTTAATGTATCAAGCTGACTTTTAAAAAATATATTTAAATATAAATTTTATTATAATGATTAATTTTTGTCAAATGAATTTTTGACGAACTGAAAACCACACACACTTAATAGAAGACACAAAAGCTGCTTTCTAATTTAATTTTATTTTAATTCAGTTAAAAATCAACAGAATTTTTATATTAAATCAAGGTCAAATCAAATTGACAGCAACTTGGAAATTTGGAAGTTACACCTCCGTTTTAAAATATTTGTTCTACTTCTACCTCCCAGCAGAACAAGTGTTTGCCTTGAAAATAAATAAATAAATAAGAATATTTTAGTCCAGAAATATTATATTTGTGCGCACAGTCCAGAAATATTATACTTGGAGAAAAATCATCCATCACGTGCCACATTACAAAGGACAAGTTGAAATGGCCAATTGGGCCGTTTTATGGCATTTGAGTGGGTTTTATACTAGGCATTCTCTTTCTGAATGAAAATTAACAAATGGCCGCCCTCAAATCATGAATACAGAAATCCATAACTGGCCGTCTCACTCCAGTTTGCTGGCATGGTTAATGCCATGCTTTGTCATCGTCCTCTTCTTTAATTTGTATTTCATCATTCTTACAATCTTCAAGAACCAGAAGGCACTCACCAGCTGCAAACCCAATCCCATGGCCTGAAAAATGGTTTTTTGAAAAGGGTTCATAATCATATTTCGAAGAACGTGGAGTCCCAACAGCAAACAAATTTTACCAAATAACTGATAACGCTTAGGGCAGACCTTTATCATCGGCGGGTTGTTGGCAGATAGAGTCACGTAAGTGATATAAGGACCCGCCACCATCCTTGCAACTGTAAATATGGAAGCAAACAAAATCTGGCCACCAATTCATCTATTAGTTCCTTTTGATCCAAGTAATCTATTTCTAACATGCAATTTACAAAACAGACCCTGAAGGACTAAAGAGTGACGAAAATTAATCCGACAGGATATAAAATGAAATTTCGTTAGGACAGGAGGATACTCACGTCAGCAGCCAAATTAACAGCAGTATCCCTGTAACCCAGCTCCTTCAAAGCCTCCCTCAAATGCAGGAAAGGGCTTGACATTTCCGTCACCCAAAGAGCTCCCACCATCTCTGATCCACACTGCAGAATAGCATCGCCATGGTTGAAGAAAGAGAGAAAACCCCAAGTTTAAATAAATAGGCAATCTCACGGTCATGGACCGAAATGCTTTAAAAGGAAAAATGGGTTTTGACTTTTGAAGGGAATGGCCGGAGTTCTGATTTAATTAAGCAGCTGATATTCCATTTCTTCCACACAGAAAAACAGAGACGATTTGGCAATTTTTTTTTTTTTAAAAAAAGGACCTTTTGATAGTAGAGACCAGCAGTGATTCCAGCAATGCTGATCAAATGATGGACGGTGTTGTCCAGACCGACTCTTCCCCCGAACAAGCAGCATACTACATCATATATGAGATACGAAAGACTTACTGCTAGAGTTTGCATCTGTCCACAGTTTCCAAAATATTGTTAATTTCACTTTCAATGCCAAAGCTCCCAACTTGATGAGCTGTTGAGTTTATAATTTATAACCTACCTGCGCTGGGGTTGACGTTGAAGCCATAGGGCAGAGTGGACATTTCCAGTCCTGAACAGAGAGTGAAGCTAATGTTACAGCTAAAGTTGCATGCGCTGTAGAGACAAGGCGGTTGCTGAACTCGAACGAGTACTTGCAAAAGATCCTTCTTGCCATCACAAATGCTAACGTCCATGAAATCACTCCTACGCCCACCGTCTTTACCACGTCGTTCTCTTCCATTTCAATCTCAATGGATTGGATTCTAAAAACAAACAAGCAACAGAAGTACAGAACGTTAAGAAAACAATTCAACAGAGTCTCTCAAACTACCGGTCAGAGTGATCAAAACTCAAACTTGACTACACCATCTCCAGCGGTCACAATAAATGAATTTCATGAAGGGACTGCCACCACAACTCCACAAAACAGAGAAAGCATTCAAGTATGATCAAACCGTTGATCTTTAATTTATTTGTTCAACAACCATATTTATTACCGACTGCTAACATACAGACCTACGTTGGTCCTTACCTTTACCCAGCCCCTCCAACACTCCAAGCATATGGTAATGTCTGATGCAACGCCCCCCCCCCCAAAAAAGAAACCAATTTTTTTTTTCATTGTAGCAAAGCCACATTGCATCCTAGTTATTTATAGGAATATTCTCAAGAATATTATTATATGTATATAATACAATATGCATACGTTTTTATTTATTTGTACTTCTTTAGTTTTATCTATAGGACATAAAGAGAATACTTGTTATGATCCTATTTATAAGACTTTTCAATAATTATTATGTCTATTTTTATCATTTTTCTCATATTAAATGTTGGGAATTTTATTAAATGTTAGAGAATTTTATTTTTAAAGTAAATATATTTAATATGAATAAAATTAAAAACTTATTAAATTTTTAGATGGAGTTAATGAAATTTATTTTTCTTCATTCCAGTGAAAAGGATGAACAAGACTGGAAGAAATATATTTTAATAAAAACAGCATATATTATATTTAGTTATTTAGATATATGGTATTTTTTATTTCAATTTTCTTGAAATACTTATATAATTATACTTCTAATAATTATCATATGACAATATATTTAAACTACTAAAATTATTTTTAAAAATAAAAAACACATTTTTTAAAAAAAATCCCCCCCTCCCAAAAAGGTTGGTTCCGCCCTTGGCTAACAGTACATTACCCGCAACTTAGATATCCCATAACCGAAAGCTGGAAAACTTTCGTCTAGCCAAAATATATGGTGCTTTAATACAAGGTTAAGTAATTTAGGTGCACATACAACTAATTTAAAGATATGCCACCCTGTCACTTTTTGAGCCAAGTGTTGAGAATTTCCTTCTTTGAAGTGGCAGAAAGTGACTCATAACAACTGCAGTAATATCTGGCAAGCAAGTACAAGACATGTGGTTGCAGTTTGAGCTCTTTCCCATTTCAAGAAGAAACACTACTCTGGGGATGTTCCTCTTCTCAAAGTGCGCCTGCATGGGTGTTGCAGCTTAAAATGATTTTGGCAACAAACACAAATCGATCCCATCTGCTAAAATCATTTGGGGATGACGAAATTGGAATACACTGTAAACTTTTATTTTCATTCCTCACCAAACTTCAGACATCGATTTCAGGCTGTGTGTGTGTGTGAAAACATGAACAACAAAAACGAACAGTCAGCACATGACAGTGGCATACATGGCTAGGAAGGAAACTCATGAGCCAGCAAGCAACCTTGGCCATCCAATCACTTATATCACTGGCATAGCATGAGCTTGAGTTTCCGTGTAGACAGATATTCAATCGCTTTGTTATATATAATCAAACTAAAAAAACGGCTGCCATCCATCAATACTGAACGTAACCATTCTTAGTCGATCGTGGTCACACTCCGCCACTTTCCTCCCTTGCTTTTCTGCCATGCTTTGCTGCCCTCTCCTTTAATTTGTATTTCACAATTCTTACTATCTTCAAGAACCTGAACGCACTTACTCCCACCAAACCCCATCCCATGACCTAAACAGTGCATCCATATTTTAAAAAGAAATTAGAAATGCCTCAAACTTCAAATAACGCATACGCACGTTTTAAATTTACAAAATCACTAATAACGTTTAGCTAGGTAGCCGGACCTTAAAGATCGGCGGTTGGTCGGTTGATAGAGTCACGTATGCGACATAAGCAGCCACTGTCCTTGCAACTGTATATGTGGCAGCGAACAAAATCTGGCCACCAAATCAATCATGTACTTTTGTTAGTTCCTTTTCCTCCACGCAGCTTGTCTACTTTTAATATTGCCAACTATACTAACAGGCCCTAAAAAAGGTGAGAATCCAGTTAAAAATTTGCTACGACATGCAATATACTTACGTCGGCAGCCAGATTACCAGCAGTGTCCCTATAACCCAGCTCCTTCAGAAACGCCCTTAAATGCAGGAAAGGGCTTGACATTTCCCCCAACCAAAACGCCATCACCATCTCTGAGATACACTGCAGAATTGCATCGATCGCTACGGTTGAAGAAAGAGAGAAATTATGACGCCCAAGTTTCCATGGGCGATTATTCTGTAAGTGAGTTTTGAAGGGGGACTGGAATTCCCATTAATTTAAAGAAAGAGAGACAGGATTCAACAATGAAAGAAATGACCTCTTGATAGTAAAAACCGGCTACGATTCCAGCAACGCAGGCGAAATGGTGGAAGGTGCTGTCCAGACTGATTCTTTCCCCAAAGAAGCAGCATACCATGTCATATAGTAGATATGATAGGGTCACTGCCAGAGTTTGAATCTGTACGGTTTTTTAAGATTATTAATACCAATTCAATGGCGAAGCTCCCAACTCGATGAGCTTATAATTGATCACAGTTTAACCCTACCTGCGCATGGGAGGTTGATGGAACTGGACAGAGTGGACATGTCCAGTCTTGAACACAGAGTGAAGCTAATGTTACAGCTAAAATTGCGTGGACTGTAGAGACAACGCGCTTGGAGAACTCGAACGAGTAATTTGAAAAGATCCTTCTTGCTGTGAGAAATTTTATCGTCCATGAAATCACTCCTAAACCAATCGTCTTTATAACGCTCCCTTCCATTTCAATCACAATGGAATGGATTTGAAGAAGAAACAGACAAGAGAATGTGAAAAAAATGAGCACAAGAGTTTTGAGAGAGAGAATATTATGCCAGCCCTGCTCAATGGGCCAGTGAACGAGAAGGATTGAAATTTGATTACAAGAGGCGGGCCCTCATGGCCTGGGCCACTAGAAATTATAGAGCCATTAAGTGTGATGAGTGACACTTAAGCATGTTGATATATCTACTTGTTAGTTGGAGGAAATTAAGTTGCATGGCGCCATTGTACTTCAAGTTCTGAGCTCTTAGCAGAATGCGACTCCGCAGTCGTAACAAGACGACGAATCCCTGCAACATGTAAATGGAAAACACATGCGATTTGGCTGGCGGTTTGAGCTCTTCAAGTCCAGCTTCTCACAGTCCAATCGAATAATCAACTTCCCAGAGAGAGATCGCACTTTTGTGCTTGGTGCTCAGCACCAAACACTGCGTTTTGCAGTGTTATTTTTTTCTTTTTTTTAAGTCACAAAATTATTATTATTATAATAGATAATTATTATAAAATTATTATTTTAATATTTAATAAATAAATAAATTTAATTTATTAAAATTTGACCTAAATGGTTCATATATAAATTTTGATATGAACAGTTTTGTGAGAGGTATTATCATTCAAGACATGATCAGACATTAAATATAAGTACTTTTTTAAACAAAAATTTAAATATTATTTTGTTACATTGTAAAAAACTAACTCATTTTATTATACTCAACTTCTATTTTAAACTCTTCAAGTTATTTTTTTTTTGTAATTTTTTTAGTACAATTCTGAGCTGTTCAAATGAGCCCTGCAAGTCAAATTTTAACAAGTCAAATTTATTTATTTATTAAATATTTAAATAATAATTTTATAATATTTATTTATTGTTATAATAATAATTTTATGATTTGAAAAAGAAAAAAAAATAACACTGCAAGACGCAGTGTTCTGGTGCTGAGCACCGAAACCGAATCTCACTTTTGTAGGATTTGACAAGGACAAAGGTGTATCATCATTTTCTCTTTTCTATATATAATTAATTATTAATAATATATCAAAACAATTTCAATGAACGCATGAAAAAGATGTCGGTGTAAATCAAGTAGTTGTAATTTTGCTTTCTGCGGCTGCTTGTGTGCGTCAGTTTTGACAAGGGATATTTACGCCCCGCAAGATTATTTAGTATGAGAAATGTAACAGGCAAGAATTTCCCGTCAATTCACTATATAGAGAAAAAAATAACTAAGCGGAACATATAGGGAAAATAATTCTAAATCAAGTAACCGACAAGGGTAGCTCGACAGTCGAAGAAATATCACAAAGCTGGATTAAATCATGATTCCCCAGCCCCAACAAAAGATGAATTTCTCTCATAAGTCATGATCAACCGGTAGAGGATACCAGCTATCCAAATAAGCTAAAGCATTCCTTGTTAGGTAATGCGCACAACAATTTGCTTCCCGAAATATGAAATTAACAATGACATGGCACTCTCTGTTCAGGAGTGATCTAACTTGTTCAACATTGTCTTTGAAGCGGCGCTGATCCACGCTGCTTCGATAAAGTGGGTTGATGACTTCATCACACAATATGTGAAAATCATGATTTTTTGTTAGGAAAATATCATTCAAATACTGCTAAGGATTTTTAATATCAAACAATGATCAAAAAATTTTAAAATATCATTGCAGGGTTGGAAAACAATTTTAAAAATAATTTTTTTTATGAAAAAAGATTATAATATACTTGTTTTTTTTTTTAAATTGACAAGTAGTCTCGTTAGATAATTAATAAATATACATTCACATTTAGTAAGTACCCATTTACTAATTGACAAGTTTAAAAATATAAAAAAGTTTGGTTATAAGAAGAGACAAGTGTAGGTCATGTTTTAAACCATTAGTTAATTCACAAAAAATTATTTATTAATTGACAAATTCAAAAATATGAAAGAGCTTGATTGTAAGAAAAGATAAGTGTAAATCATGTTTCAACACTTACTTATTCATTAATTAAAGTACCTATTCATATTTAACAAGAAACCATTAACTAATTAACAAGTTCAAGAATTTGAAAAAGTTTTGTTGTAAGTATAGACAAGTATAAATCATGATTCAATAAGTAGCCATTTATTAAATAATGTGTATTTATTTACATTTAATAAAAAATTATTCACTAATTGGAAAAAAACAAAATTAAGGGTGTTATAATCTTTTTTCATTTAAAATTGATTTTAAATCAATCTTCTAATATTGCAGTGATAGTTCAAAAATTTTTAATCTTTTTTTTATATTAAATTACCTCAATAGTCCTTTAATGATAATTTTTTTCAAAAAAGTATTCAAAAATTTATTATTATATGTCTCAAAATAAATTATAAAACCAAAGTTATAATTTTTTTTAAAAAAATATCTAAACACTCTTATAAGCCAGAAGCCACGCTCAAATGAGATTATAACTTTTTGCTCTGATCTTATTCAATTAATAGCAGCTAAAATGAGAATAGAACTTTTTGCCCTGATCTTATTCAATTAATAGAAAGAACATATATAACTACTAAACAATTTACAAGATGTAAACAGATTCCAGCTAATTACTGGTAGCATGGACAAATCCAATATTATGTAGTATATAAAGTATATGCCAAAATCTGCCACCAACCCAAAATTTTGGTTATATCATAAACTATTACTACCTGTTTATTCAATTCAGATTTTAATCACAGTATATTTTTTAAAATTTATTCAAAAATCATATAAAATTTATTATATTTTATAAAAATAATTTTAGGTTTATAATTAATTTTGTACTGTATTATACTATTATCCTTCTTTTTGGGTTCATATAATGTCTTTTTAGATGTATACATATCTAATTAAACAAGTTAAATAGAAGCCTTGATTTGATAAGAAGCAAATAGTTAGGGTTGAAAATAGGAGTCGGGCTTAAAGAGCTGCTTGTTCGAACTCATTTTTTTATAAGTATTCAAGCTTGAAAATTTGGTATTTTTTAAAAAAATTACGCTTTAAAACTAGGCCTTAATAGACCATGAGAAAACAAGATAGGACTCGAGCGGCCTGCCAAACTTATTCTCTCTCTCTCTCTCTCTCTCTCTCTCTCTCTCTCTCTCTCTCTCTGCTCTTCTAAGACAAAAACATATTGCTTAGAACCTCTAAAGTAGAGAACCCTAATCTCACTCACTCTTTCTTGGCCATTAGGGTTGTGCAGAAGTTTGGTTGTCCTATCCAACCTTGTCTAACCAAACAAACCCTATCCTGTCTTGTCTGGTAAAAAATTAGTCTAAAGGACCAAAGAGACTAGACCAACTTCTTGGGTTGGACTGAAAAAGAAACCAAACTCTCATACCACTTAGTTTAGTTCGATCCTATAAAATTATTTTAATATTTTTTAATTATTTTAATTTATTTGAATAGATTGAAGTTTGAACACAGTGTTTCCTTCATTTACAACTTGACCAAATCGGACTACGAGTTGTTTAACTTAGTCCTTTCTATGAAAGAGACTTGTGCAACCTTACTCGCCACTACTCCTCTCTTATGTGTCGCCCTTTCAATATTGGAAAGTCAGTCTTAGCTCTCTATCGATCTCACATGTTGTCTCTATCTTTGGCCCTCTGTGGACGATTACTCACCTAATCTTTTAGTCTCACGATTCGTCTTCTTGATATTGCCTCTACTCTCGCTCTCAACTTCAAGCAAGTGCCTTTAATGTAGTCATATTGTTTCTAATTTCTAATCTGTGGTCTGCTGTGTGTCAGGATATTTGAGTAAGGATGTAAGAGTGAGACTAGGACTAGAAGTAAAGATGTGTTTGAGAAAATGAAAATAGGGAGGCATGAGAGTTAGCTAGAAATGTCAAAAATGGTGGGGTGAAGGGAAGATGAAGTTAGACAAAAAATTTCAAACATCGGAATGCACAGTAGCTCTTAACCAATAACCAAGTGAATAAAAGCTTTGACTAAAAAAAACTAGGTGAATAAGAGCAAGAAATTGGTTAGGTTTTCCTAGAAATTCTATGCATTTTTTTATGCAAAGACTCTATAGTCAAAGAATGAATCACCCAATTTCTTGACCTCATAATTTATTTTTGAAAACATGTAATTTTTTTACCATCTTTAAAGAAATGTGCTCTAAATTAGTAGTTTAGCTCATGGCTTATTTCATATTTTTATTCAAATCATGTGATTTTTTTACATCATCTTTAATGTATTTTAATTTTACTTTTTTCTTAAATGGGCTTATAAACTTAGCTCTAAATCCTTTAAATAAAACTCAAGTTTTGAAAAATAGGATATTTTCAGGAAACTAAACTTAAAGATCTAAGCCTATAAAAGTTGGACCCATAAGGACGAAGTCCACATAAGCCAAGAAATTCTTCATATTTCTCAACTCTTCAAATAGTACCCTTTTTTTTTACAGAGGCCCTTTGTCTGTATTGTTTCCATTACAAGTACTCATGCTTAGTCTTCATTTAGCCTTAAAAAAAGAAAAGAAGAGAAAAGAAAAAGGACTCAACTTGCCAAACATTGCAATGCGACCTCTTTTCCTACTTTTATGTTTTATTGTGCATGTTTATATCATTCTATAAGAAGAGAAATAAGAATTGTATTGGTGTGGAAAAGTGGTACACAAGCCTTTGAATTGTATATTGCTATTTATAGAGTGGGTATGAAACCTCAAGTACAAAATAATCACGTCAGATGACAAATAAATAATAAATAGCTATGTATAATAAAGAATACAAAATGCAACACCTAAGTAGGAGATTAGGCCTTTTGTGACTTATAGACTTTATTGGGTTTAGAGGACAATAGATGATCTGGTTTAGCATGCCCTCGCAAATAAGGGATAGGTGGCTTCAGGATCTCAAGTTTGGTTCGAAAAGTCTAATGATTTGAATAAGACAAAGCTTTAATAAATAGATCTGCAAGTTGCTCAGTGGATGGTGCATATGAAAGTGACAGCTAATGATTAAAGACGCGATCATGGACATAGTGAACATCAAGTTCAATATGTTTTGACCGAGCATGGAATACTAGATTTGAGGTAAGGGCAATGATACCTAGGTTGTTGCACCATGCAATAGGAGGTTCATAAAGGTGAAGTCCAAGTTCTCAAGTGAATGACTGAATCCATGAAAGCTCTTAGGCTAGATTTGCAAGGGCATGATACTCAGACTCAGCTGATTACCCAGTTACTTCTTAGTGGACTATGAGATTAGAGAATCACCAAGGAAAATGAAGTAGTTGCCTATAGATCTACGATTGTTTGGGCAGACAGCCTAATCGGCATCAGAGAAGCCCTGTAAGGTAGGATGATTACTTGGTTTAATACATAGGTTGAGATCTATGGTTCCTTTAAGATATTTGAGGACTCATTTCAAGGCTTGCCAATGAGTATCTCAAGGAAAGCATAGAAACTGACTTAATTCATTGATAGAAAATATTATGCCTGGTCTAATATGAACTAGATATTGTAAAGAGCTGAGTACTTGTCTGTAAAGATTCAGATTTTTGAGAGGAATGCCTTCTTCCTTTAAATAGTTCTTGTTCATAACCATTGGTGTAAGAACTGAAGAAGTGAAGCATTTGACATCCCACACTTTTTTAGAATGCTTAGGATATATCTTTCTTACTTAAGATATAGTCCTGTATCATCTTGATAGGCTTCAATACCTAAAAAATGATGAAGTTGGCCTACATCTTTAAGAGCAAAGTAAGTATTATGCTGTCTGATAAATAGATTTAAAGCTGTTAGATAGTTTCCTGTAACAATGATATCATCTACAAAGACTAGAACAAACATAACTACCTTGTTAGATTTGAAGAAAAATAGAGAAGGATCACCTTTGGAATATTAAAATTGTAACATCGTAAATTTTAATCCCATAATAAACTAAGCTTAGTTATAATAATTAAGTAAATTATAGTGGTATGTGGCCAAGAAGGTCTAATGACTAATTTTGGGTTGTGTTTTAACCTTAATTTTAAGTTTGGTGTAGAGTTAAGCCACCTAAATATTCAAAGGAGAAGAAAATAAAGGGTTAGTATTGCTGTATCACACGTCGTAGTATGGAGTGCATCTGCCACAGTGCATAGACACTACAGATGCGAGAAGGGGATTTCTCTATGCCATGCACCATGGTGCATTCAGCATCTGTTGTGGTGCACGGCCATTTTTCTACAAAAATAAGTTACGATTTGTGACAGAAACAAAATGAAGAGAAAGGGAGGAAATGAAGAAGATGAGTTAAGCACTACTAAGGTTCATTCTTGAACGACATTAGGAGTATTTTAGAAGCTACAAACACCTAAGTTAAGTATCACACTCATTAATCTCTCCATCTTTTCCACATTTATGAGTTTATGGTTAGGGTTTGATAGTGAAAAATAATTTTTAATCTATATAGGTTATGATTTTGAATTTATTGACTCAAATGAATTTAATGAGAATAGAGTTGGGTTCAAGAGAATGAAGCTTTGTGTATTAAAGTTGGGCATTGGAAGAGTTAGGTTTAAGAGAATGAAGTTTTGAAGACATTTGGAGTTTTTTTTCTTTAGTTTTTCTGTTCCTCTTTCCTTTCCTCTCTTATATTCTGATATGGGTTCAAATATTTTGTGTATTTATATCTTTTGGATATTATGAGTAGCTAAACATTTTGTTCAAGAGTTATTTGAAATCCTTGTATGTATTAACATGATGTTCTTCCTCTCTTTTTTGTGATTAATGATGTGCGTGTGTGTGTTTGTGTGTGTTTATTTTACTTTTTTCTTAATATTTTTAAGTGATTGGCCATCATTTAAATGTTAGATTCACTTGATTGATGCCTGAGAGTGCTAAGTTGAGTGTAGAATTTAGGTAAAATAATGCAAGAACTTTATATTTGCATATTGAATTGACGGTTTTGCTAGTAAGATAAAGATATATTTGCTCACCTTGCATAGCCACATTAAAGTTGGAGCTAAAAATTAAATTTTATTAATTGTAATAAGAGATTGGGTAATTAATTTAACTAAACATTTGTTTATGACTTGAAAAAGCTTGTCTAAGTATTTTTAGAACTTTAGATTAGCACTTATTTTTATTAAAAGTATTTAGGAGAAGAGGTGATTTTGGTGTTATGAGATATAAGGAGGATAAATAATTTTAGGTCTAAATTTGAGCTTGAAGTATGTGAATCAATTTGTTTTCTTTATTTTCTAGTGCTAATTTAGTTTGTAAAATCATGTTCACCTAATTGTATTTGACTCAACTTAATTGCACTCACTTAATCTTTTATTTAATTATTATTTTTAAACAAATCCTCAAGGAAATGATACTTTATATTTATTATATTACTTGCTATTACCCGTGCACTTGTGGTGAGTAACAACGTGTCACATGATTGTAATTTGGCAAGTTACGTGAATAACGGGTTATGGTCACATGTTAAATGTATTATGGCAATGTACTAGTGTATGTGAGATAAAAATAATTTCAAATAAGTAATGATAAGTTATGATGTGTGTGTAAGTATGTTTTAAGAATTTAATTTCATATATAATTAATTATAATTAATATATAACTGCATAAGGTGGGTTTGACCTTATTTACTGAGTGACTAAACACACCCCTTTCATTTAACAATTTAATGGCTTTAACTCTGGTACAAAGAGGGAGAAGACGCAAGAGGATAGGAATTAGTTCATTATTACTATATGCTCTAGTTTATATTTATTTTGTATAATAGAATATGGTTGCCAAAAGTAAGGATAGATAATCAAGAGATTTAGAACAAGTAAGGTGTATAAATGATGAAGAGGAGAATGTCTTAGTCACAGATAATAATATTAAAGACAAGTGGTAGACATACTTTTTTAAGCTTTTCAATGACGATGGGAGGTCATCAATTAACTAGGAAGATTTAATAACTTTTGAAAGAGTAAAATTTGTCATTTTATTGAAGAACATGAGCTTGGAAAGTGAAAGAAACTCTTAAAAAAATGATAAATGATAGAGTCAATAAACTTGATTGTTTTCCTGTTGAAATGTGAAAATGTTTGGGTTAAAAAAAAATACAGTGGTTAATTAAATTGTTTAATGAAATCTTATAATTTAAGAGAATACCGACTCAATTACAATTGGACATTGGGCCTAGAGGACAATAGGTGATCTGATTTAAAACTATATTAGGACAAGAAGGTATCGTCTGACATGTATGTCTACGAAGTATTTACCAACTATTCTATACGTGTACTACGTGGAATACGCAAGTAATTATCATTTTTACATCTCACACTAAAAAATAAAAATTTGTACTACCAGATGTTAGTTTTAGTGAAAGTGTTATAATCAAATTAAATATAAGATCTGAAATTTAAATTTATATAAATGCATAAAATATTTTTGAAAGAATTACACTCATTGAGCCTAACAACAATTGACATGATTCAATCAAACAATAACGTTGAAACTTTAATAGATTCATTTTTAAAAAAAAGAGGGTGGATAAATTTTCCTGATTCTTCTTCTATATTTTTTAATTAAATTTGTTATTTTTCAAAACCAAACCCACTAAAATCTTAATTCTGAACCCGTTTCTCCATTCCTAATCCAAGGGCTAAGGGGAGAGTTCGAAAAAGGTATGTATATATATATATATATATAATTGACAAATACCATTTTTACATGGAAATGCCCATCAATCCATACAGAGACACACACACACACAAACACGAGCATATACTGCACTTCAGCCAATATTACTTATATCCCGACCCACCATTACCAGAATCAAACCACTAGCTTCTGCTCAACTCCATTACAACAATTAATTAGACATATTACATTAAAAGTCTGAGAGGTCGAAGAAGATAAAGAACCTAGAAAGTTCAAATTTTCTCCACTCGCTGACTCCGACATAAAGAAAACAAGAATTGGACTCCTTTTCGAGAATTTCCAGGTTCTGAGGCACAAGGCCTTGGAGAAGATAATAGCCTCACTACTGAAAAACGTCTGCAGAAGCCATAATAGGCTGATTGAGAAAGGGCATGCCCATGGGATTCATGAAGTTGTCTGCTCTCGCTGGATAGCAATCGGTTTCATAAAACCCAGTGCTCGTGTTGATGAAGCTCAGAATATCGTTGAGTGATTGCAGCCTGTGGCTAAGCTCCGCCGTTCGAGCCCTCAATACGGAGTTTTCGGCCTCAATTTTCAGATAGTGTTGTGTGGTGATGTTTATGCTTGTCAGGATTTCGCTATTTTCCTTTCTCAGCTGACTCACCTCGCCCATCAGATCATCCAAGTGCTTTTGCTTTCGCATCCGGGATCGCTTTGCCGATTCCCGGTTCGATTGCATTCTCTTCCTTTTTCTCTGATCCATCAAAGCCTGCAGATCCTCTTCAGAACCAGAGCTCTGAAATCTGGTGGACATGGACGAATTTCCACCGGACAAGTCCATGAGATATGATCTGTGCACCAAAGACTGGTTTTTCCAGAATTTACCCAACTATCGAAAAAAAGACCACAAACTAGCTTTGAAATCTAAAAGACGCAGCAGGAGCAGGACCCCAATGACACGGAGCTAATTTTAATTTTGACGATAATATTTAAACAATTATATAATACAGAACTGCGATGATGTTAAGAGATTTATGAAAACACATAGAACCAGTAGAGGAACACAACAGAGAAGGACTGAACTAAGTGGGTCCTGCGCCTCAAGGAAGAATTTATCATAAACCCGGAACGGAGGATTTCACTGACGACTGGAGACATGAATCTCAAACGTTAAAAACCGAAAAATCAGCGTAAAGAAACATGGGAAGAACTTCCTCCGGCAGAATAACCGCCTGTAACCAGCCTCAGATGCCTGCAAAACGATGGTCCCAAGAGATTTAAAATATAACGGGTTTCAGGTGATTAACCTAACCCAAAATAAATTTCACGGAAAGCAGAAATACGGCAAGCCAGAAAGCCTGGGCTTGAGGGAGAGAGAGATAAAGATTTAAGAGCTAAGGAAGGAAGAGGAAAACGAAGAAGGGGAAGTTGCAGAGAGACTCGAAGGAGCAATTTATAGAGGAAAAGCAGGAAAAGAAAGGCAGAGAAAATCAGAATGGGGCAAAGGAAAATGAGAATCAATTGAAGGGAGCATGGGAATCTTCTCCAAAGGCTTGGTGAGAAGACGATTAGGCATGTGGGGTGGAGACGAAAGCTTCACAACCTTCCAATTCCAACCGGTCACCCCTGTACGGACTTTTTTTGGGGGGTGGGGGGAGGGAACGACTGCTATTTTTTAATTGATTGCCAGCCTCTTTTTGTCGGAGATATTACAATTCAATACAGTAATTTTAATATTATATAAATATTGATTTTGCTATAATTAAGTGAATATTTATAGTTGTATTATTAAATTTCCTTCAAAAAAACTGAAGTTCTTTTTTTCCACAAATTTTTTAAAAAATAATTTATATTCGAGGAAACAATTATTTTTAATATGATTATTTAATTAGATCAGATTCAGATATTATCAGGTTTGATGGTAGTATTTCTTTTTTATTTACACAAACTTAAAACTAAAATCTCGTATTTAAATAATTATAACCTATTTCACTAGCACCCAAACACAAAAAAGCAAATTTGATATGAATTCAGCCGAGTAACATGACAGGATGTAAAAGGACATCTTTTCATCCTACCAACAAAACCAAGGGTAAGTGGGAGGTGATCTTCTTTAAAAAGTACATGATATCCTGCGTTTTATGAAGTATATTTGCAATCTAATAATATGACCTCAAAATTTTGTATTATAGTTTGAGGCGGGATTATGGGCTACTGTAGACCATACAAGTTGGCCTGTATAGATTTGAGAAAAATACAAGTTGTACTGGGCTCAACTTATTTTTGTGCGTGTCGAAATTTGTAGAGATGCCAGTTTGAAGCCTGCAATGAAATGCAGAGCATTGGTAGAAGAGAGAGGACAAAAAACAAGCTTTAAGTCAACGGCCAAGATTGTTTTTAAAAGATAAACGGTAATGATTGCTTTGTCTTTTATTGACATGTAAGGGTGCCGCGTGCCGGCAGCCCATCACCTCCCAACACGCACTCTTGCCAATACAAACATCGCATATTGCATTTTACATGTAGTACTTTTGTGATTAAAATTAAAATTGCATTTGTAATATCATTATAGGTAACGATTGCTTTGTCTTTTATTCATGCTTTTATTTTATAAATTTATTTTTAATGTTCATCTTTTGACTATTTAAATTAGGCATGAATAAAATTATGTTAATTTGGAATATGTGAAACTGATATAAACAAATATCACGAGACATATTTGAACACGCATGACAATACACGAACAAATATTGATTAAATTATTTTGTATTCATATGTATTATTTAAACAATATTATTTTAAATTAAAAAGGTCCAATCACAATCTAACCTAACCATGGTTTAATAGATCGGTATCTTGATCAATTTAATCTACTCTGTGTCATCTTGGAAAGAGGTGAGGTATGACAGTTTATAGAAGTTTTTATGAAAAATATACTTTAATCTCTATAATTTACTCACATTTTATTTTTTAATTTTTTACTTTTTTTTGATATCCTAGATTCCAACAATTTATTTATGAAGGGGTCTAAAATAATAAAAAGTAAAAATATAGGAATTTAAGATATCAAAAAAAGTATAAAGACTGATAACAAAGCACAAGTAAAATGCAAGGACACATATTTTTTCATGATTTTATGATTTTAAAAAACGTAAATGGCTACAAATTAATGGATATCAATATTATTTATTTGACTACTTTTTTTATATATGAAAAATCTTCATCTACATAATCTCTTATCTCATAAAGTCTCAATCTACATTTAATTTAAATATTACTTAGCTTCTAACTATTTTCTATCTTATCTCATAAAATTTCATCTCGATTGTTTTCAGACAGGAATGGAAACAGGCTAATCGAGACGGGTATAAATTGAACAACCCTAGTGCAATGTATTTGATTGTGATATACAAGTAAATGTTGGAAGTATGAATTTTTTTTTAAAAAAAAAAACATGCAATCTAGTCCAATTCCTAGCTACACTGAGGCCAGGAAAAAAAAACTAATTTTACTAAAATTATTATGTTAAATATTCAAAAAAAAATCATGTTAAATGAACCTTATATGAAACGAATTAAATAAACATTTTATTTTGTTAAGTGAATTAAATTCATATTACACTGGAAATCCCTACGTCCTAATACATCCATGATACACAGTCAGAGGGTTTAGTTAAGCATATTGATCATGATCGGTGGACCATGAAACATGCGAAGTGAGAGTTTTTGAGATATTTTATGAGCACAAAGTGAAGACTAAATTAAATGTTAATTTCATTTCTTTTTTTTTAAATGGGTACTTAAGCCAAACCTTTCAAATTTGAATTTGGTTTGAAATTCTTCAAGTTTGGTCAAATGGAAGTTAAAAAAAAAATTCTAACCTTCAAATTTAGTCCTAATATTTTCAAACTTATTCAATTTAACCCATTAAACTTAGTCTGAATTAATCGGAATCCCGCTCATTCCCACCTTTTATTGGAGATCTACTAGTTTAATTAGATGTTCACATTACATTATTACTTCACCCACTTCCCCATCCACCGTGAGAAAAGCGAGAAGCTTAGGTTCCTCACCGCTCCAATGTAATCACTAATCAACTCCCATCCTAGCTAGCTCCTCTATAGGTTTGGCGGGTGTGCGTCTTAAATATTCTGGACAGTTTGTATTTGATTTTTTATAAAATATTTATCTTTTATTATTTAACATTTAACAATAATTTTATAAAAAATTAAATCTAAACTATCCAAACCTAGATGTTAAAGCTAGAAAGAAAAAAGAAAGAGGGGAGGAGAAAATTCTTATATCCGGAGACAGGACGAAGAGGCAACCCCCCTGATCTCACAGCCGCGTTTGGCTTGGTGATGACCATTGCAAGTTATATTTTTCGAAGTTAATGGACCCTTTACAACTCGGCTTTCGTGTCATTTTGTGCTTTTCTTTTTTTTTAATTAAAAAATACATTCATAATTAAAATGAAATTACACCAATGATAAATGACCTGATAAATTACTCTCCTCATCTGCAGCCTTTTTGATTCTGTGCTTTTCACGTTCGTGTATCATGACTTTGCACATTTTTTAAAAAACAAATTTCACAAATGATTTTTAACCTTTGGAGCCATTCATTTTGGTGTATCCTCCCTAGTTTTTACATCTCATATAAAAAAAACATTTTACAATAATTTTTGAAAAGAAAGGGGGAAAGGTACCAAAAGTAGGAGCCACTGATGATGACTTTATTGTGAAAGAAGGGAGATTGAAAATGGGGCCCTTGACAGAGAGGCGTATTGGATTATTTTCTTGAAAAAATTACAGATCGCATAAAAAATTAATTATTATAAAATTTATTAATAATTAAATTAAAATTTATGATAATTAATTTTTTTATGAGTTTCAATAAAATTCTTCTTTTATTTTAACCTATTGATATCATGAGAAATGCTTAAATAGATTATATCATTTGTGATTTATTTAATTAAAATGTTTCAATTAATTTAAATAAAATCTTGACATTTTTTAAATTAATTTTACTTTATAAAAAATATATATTTATTTTTTATATTTTTTTACTATTATTAATATCAAGATAAATTTATATTTAATATTATTTAAATATTATATTTTTATTAAATAGATTATAAATGATATGATATATGTGATTTATATATAATAAGTGGGGGTGGGCCCTACAACGAGAGTAAAAGCGTAAGGTAAGGGCATCTCACGCAGGTGTCAACAGAATATTCCGGATCTCTTCCGAGTAGTATGGCCTTGAAGTTTATTGTTTCCTCGTTCATTAAATTAATAAATTTGCAAGGTCTTGTCAAGCCCCTGGCCGTTCCTCCATTGCTTGCATCCCATTCTCTCTCCTGGGATATTTTCAGACACACACGCAGGCAGTCCGGTGAGCGCAAATTTGTTCACATTGTAGAAACTTACACGTATTTTATCAAGGCGCGCGTGTTTCAATCTTGTCCCTGCCGTCAGAGTCATTTTGATGGCGTAGGTAGTCTTGAGTCTCGTGGCTCTCTAAAACTCCATCGCCCATCAAATCCCTCGACGCTCGGCCAATTTCTACAGCACAACCAACCGTGGGAGAGCCAGCCTCGAATGTTTGGGGAGGCCAATGTTTTTAACATTAATCAGTCTCTCTCCTCTCTATTATAACGCACGTTTATCTCACCGAAATCAAGGAGATAAAATTTAATAATTAAAAATAAAATAAATGTTTAGTTTTATTCATATTTAAATACAAAATTTTAAATATATATTGCATTCTTTCCAATAATTAATGAGTTTAAATACAGATAATATTAAAAATATATATATATATATATATGTATGTATTAATATCTCATCAAGTGTATTGTATTGAAGATAAAAGTCTTTTTAAAATGAGTTCTATAATAAGAATATAAGGAAGTATTACACTAACTTCATCCCAATTTATAAAATATTTTAAAAAAAATCACATGTATTAATAAAATTTATTAAATATAATTTATAACTTTATTTTTTCAAAATAAAAATATAAATTTTTAAAAATATTTTTTATTTAATACTTCATTTGTGAAATAATACTAAAGACAGAGAATATAATAAAAATAATATTAAAAAGAAATAATTAATAAGATTTTATTTTTATTAAAGTATTTTATATTTTAAAATTAAATATCTCTCAAAAATGTCTTGTAAATTAAGATGGGAGTGAAAAAAAAAAAATGATATCGAATCTCGATCCCTCACGCTTACTAGCTCTCTCTCTTTCTTTCTTCTCACTATTTTGAGACCCTCCTTCTTTGCCTCACCATATCACAATTCCTTCCCTTCCTCTTTTTCTTCTTCACGCAGCTACCATTAAAGGGTGCGGGCAGTGACAGACCCAAAAAAAGTTATTAACGGGGGCAGCATTACACCAAACACAAATATTAATAATTTTTGAAAGAATAAAATTATAATTATTAACTAAATAGATATATAAATAAATTATATCAGAATTTAAAAATATATTAATTTCGTTTCCATCATGAATTACTTTACTAAATATAAATAAAAGATAAATGATATTTTTTTAATAAGCTAAAGTGTGCCTTTGGTCCTTTACTACATGCAATGAT